TATAGAAAGAAGTTGGAATAGGCCAAAGAAAGGAAAGTTTTAGGATTTGAAGGCAAACAGCTTTTCTCAGCAATACTGTCTCAAGAAAAATTCTCCCCAGCACCCATTTATCAGCGCACTACTGAGGCTGCATTCATCAGACATTTATACAGAAATGGGAAGACTGAACCTTGCTCAGTGTTATGGAAAAGCTGAATTTTCTCTGAAAAAGTGGACAATAGATTTACAGAGGTTAAAAAGAAAAATCGCCTTTCATTTTGTGTTCATCCATGTTTCCCTTTCTAGCTTAAAGAAGAAGCAAGGAATGAGCATGTGTGGATTCAGAAGTGTCTAGCCCTCCTGAATACAAGCCTGCCAAGTTTACAATTGAATTTTTGTCTTTGCTTTGATAGAAAATTGCCACAGGTCTGTGGCCAAGTTAATGAACCTGCTCATGGTTTAAATATTTATTTTGTGAACTGAGAATAGTACTTGGGCCAAAACTCAAGAATGGCCACTGAATAAGCCAGTATTTCAAGAACATCAAGAAGGTGGTATGTAGTGGGTAGAAACTTGGTCATGTAAGCATCATTCACTTCAATTGTGCATGCTGACCAGAGTAAGTGGAAGCAAAAATATCTTCCCACTTACAAAAAGAGAAGACAGACTAGGGGTGCTTCACTAAATTATTGCTAGTATTCATTTTTAAAACACACAGTAAAACTGGTGACATGAAAACTATTCTTTTGCATTGTAGACTCATTCTCCTGTTTCTATTGCTCTGCTGAAAATAAGGTGCTAGTGTGTATCCAGTTTAGGGATTCTAGAATCACTCAAATTTCTTCAACAATAGTTTTAATTAATTTGCCAATTTTCACTATAAGAGAATTTTGCTTTGAATACCTGCATGAGACCTATTCTGTAACAGCATCCCTACATGACAACACTATTACAGAGCAAATAAAAAATCAAGTTGTTAACAGTCTAATAGTGAAAAAAAAAAAATCATTCAAATGAGAAAAAGTTAAATACTGAAAAGCAGATTTTAAAAAAATGGAAGTATAATGCAATTTCAGAGGCAGAATCCATTCTGGACATAGAAGCAAAGGAATATTTTGTGTTTTAAAGATGTAGAATTTGATTTTACTACTTCAACTAACCAGCTTTGAGAGCTGTTCCTACCTTACTGCTTTCCCTTCTTACCAATGTAACTAAAGCAATACAGATGCTTCCTATAGTCAAGCAAGAGAAAAACAATAATGAGGTGTCTCAAACTTTTGGTTCTTCCCAGAGAAAGAACTTCTATTTGTGAGAAGACAGCTTAAACATCTGGTATACTTCTTCTCCATACCTTTGTAAAAATATTCTGCCTTATCAGTATGAAATCAATGATAGGAATATGGAAAAAGCAAAAAATTAAGAGCAATTTCAAATGCTTGTTTAGAAATAGTAGCATTAGTCAGTGCTAAAAATGAGACTTTCTCAAGTCTGTGTGTCAATAATATGAGTGCAAATGCAAATAACCTGTAATTCATGTGATTTTATTTTTTGGAGCAGTCAGTCAACAGAATGCAAACTTTACAGACCACAATCAGAAGCCACCAAGCAAAAAGATTCTTAAGCAAAAATCTCTTGCTTTCAGATACTAGTTGATATGAACAAAATTCATCCATGTGGAAAAAAACATGCAAACAAGTACAACAAAACATTGCCACACTCCACTAATAATTTTTACTAGAAAGCAACCTACTGTAACTTATGTTTTTGCACACTTGATAGATATAAAAGTGAATATAATGTTATATTCAAGATTGTCTTTATAATCAGCAATATATTGTAATCAGCATTTTCAGAGTCTAAAAGACCAGTGGTTTTCCTTCTTGAATGTCTAGATTTTTTAGGCACTTAGCAAATTCTCATAAACATGCTGTATTTTAACATAAATCCAGGTTAATCGCCTGAAACCAAATCTTTGCTTCCATGGATTCTGCATTACTTCACTCTGATAATTAGTCAATGTTAATACATTTCTGGAAGATGAAGTACATTCCTACACTGTATACATTTCAGATAGAAAACAATGTGTAATAAGGAAAAATGTGAAATAAGATTAATCAAATGTATATTTTAATTCCTGGAGATTGAAGCAATTTGAGATTATTGCAAAAGAGCTTCTTCAGAGTTGAAAAAAATTCCTAAAAGCTGTGTATTTTTGGGAGAGGTGATACAACTTTGAAAATAATTTTATTTATATTAAGCATTGTCAACATACAAGGAACTCATATTTAGGCAGTGTTCAGGACAGACAGATTATGTTATGAATGCTGCATAGATATACTTGACAATTTTGAAGTCACAGCTTTTATTCACCTTTACTTTTAAATAGTTTCTAAAATTCAGTGATAATTATATCTCTACTGTGCAGTTTGAAATGCTGCAGAATGCTTGTTTCAGAACTACTGTCCACTTCTTTCCTTCTGTCTGTCTTCACTGGGCTAGTGACTGTAGATGTATTTCAACAGATACCAGCACTGCTCTGCACAACTGCTTAATACTTTTTAAGCTTCAGCATATAAAAGGCATCTTGTTTCTTTTTAACATTTCACCAAGAGCTGAGCGTAGAAAGCCTGATGACACTCATTTACCTTTTCAAGCTGTTTATTCAAGAACTAGAAAACACAGAGGAAGATGGAAGGATATTGACCTTATATAGATGCTAATAATCCACAGCAGGTAGTTATAGAGAACCAGCTTGAGATTGCATTTTACATTATTATCTAAGTGTAAATAAAAAGAGGACAGAAAAGGTAAGATTAAAGAAAGGTGTAAGATTCTGTCCTTCTTCCTCTTTATGTAGCTGCTATCATCAATTGCCATTCCTGTTTACCATTTTCAACAATGACCTTGAGTATGCAAAAGACAACCAATCAGGAGGTAAGGCTGGCATTCAAATGGACCTAGACAGGCTAAGGGATGGGCCAGCAGGAATCTCATGAAATTTAGAAAGCATCAATGTGCAGGTCTATACCTGAGAAGGAGGAATCCCAGCAACAATACAAGCTGTGATGGATTGGCTGGGGACCAGCTTTGCAGAGAAGAACTTGGAGGCCCTGGTATGGCAGCAAACTGAATATAAGCCAGCACTGTGTTGTGGCAGAGAAGATGGACAACAGCAACTTGAGCTTTACAAAAAGGAGCAGAGCGAATAGATTGAGGGAAGCCATAATCTCCAATACTTAGCATTTATTAGATCATGACTAGAATACACCTGGAATTCAATGTCTTAAAAGGATTCTAAGTAGAGAATTTATCTATTTTAACAACATCATTGACTTTATTTTTCTTTTTAGGATACAGAGGTAACTATAATGTGTGATGTTACATTTACAAGGTTTCATTACGTTTATGTAAGGCACCACCTCTCCTTGGCCCCAGAGTTTTGTTTGGAGTTAATCTTCCATAAATTGATAGAATAATCTGAGAGCTCTAGTAAGGTAATAGGAAAAAGAATTATTATAGTGCTTGGTTAAATAACATGTTTTGAACTTGATTAAGTCAAAGGATATATAGAGCACATTCTTCATATTGTACAGCATCCCAAAAGAAATTGAAGGTGGTCACAAACTGAAAACTGGCACATAAGCCTCTCTTGCTCACACCCAAATAGTGAAAACACTAAAAGGATGTATTTTATTCACGGAAACTGTGAACTTTTCATTTACAACATATGGAGTTGTGGCTCTTATAGCAAAATTGTCTTTTGATATACTTAAAATAAGCAGTATAAAGGTCAATTCTAAGCTGTATTACTTTATACAAAAGAAAACTAAGAGAACTCAAGATTTTTTTGATTGCATCAACAATACACCATTTAAATAGGGAATTTGGTGTGATATTACAGTAACCTCTACCTCAAGATCAAAGTTACTGGAGAATGAAAAATAAAAGCCAAGAACTCTGTTTTATGGAATGGAAGAAGACTAGGCTACAATGTGTAAAACTTTCCACTGTACTGAATTCCCACCCTACTGAAACTACCTGGGCAAAATTTAGGTCCACTTTCCACATTTAGTTTAAAAGAAATCTGAAGGTATTATACTGATATTTACTCTATTTTTTCTAGTGACAAGCTCCTTTCCTAGTAGTATAAGTCACGTGGTAGAAAACTTCTCTATCATTAGTATTGTTATCTTTCTATAAAAATACCTTTTTTTCCTTTTGCAAATAGAAATTAACATGTTCCTGCTCAGTGATAATTCTACTTCCACGTTCCTTAGAACACAGATTTACTCTTCTAGCTACTCTTATTTAGAAACAAAAACTCCTTCCCAAAAACTTTCACTTTTAAGACACACATACTATAAACAACTTTGACCTGATACAACATACTGAGTTTAAAAGGGAAGCCAAAACAC